CCCGCCCCCCACCCCACTCCTCCAGCAGTTTCCCCATCAATGCACGTCGCCCGGCGGCACACACAGAACAGGCCTTGAGCCAGGCCCGAGCCCCTTCCCTGGGTGGCACCAGGCAGGTGCCTCTCCTGGTGGGGGGAGTTGGGGCACACAGGACAATCTCACTGCCCCGCCCCATCCCACCCCCACTGGGCCACTGGGTGGCCCACCCTCCCGCTCTTCTCCCACCAACTCTGGAAACCCAAAGGGAGGAAAGGAAGGGAGAAACCAGACACACACAAAAAAGAAGTGGGGAAGGAGGGTGAGGACAGAGAGACACAGCAAGCCTGGGATGGGGACTGCAGGGTTTGGGGAGAGAAGGAAGGCAGGAGGGACAGAGGGAGGAAGAAGAAAAATTGAGGAAAATTAACAGGACAAGTAGTGGACACTTTACAAAAACCCCAGCCTTCCTTCCCGCCCAACCCCACCAAAATAAAACTACCCCCCTTAAAAAAATAAATCAACCCAGGGCTGTGAGCACGTGCCCTGCCTGGCGGGCGCAGAGCCCAGAGGGACAGACAGCCCCAGGCCTGAAGATGCTGCCACGGTGGACAGCAGGAGGAAGGGGGCGAGCGCGGGGTTTTCCTTTTCTTTTTTTGCATTTCCTCTTCGTGAGAAAAGCCTGAGGCAGCCAGGGAGGGGGTCCCAGGCCCCCGGCAGGGGGAGGGCCGCACCGTCCTCCCGGGCCCTTCCGGGAGGGGCAGCTGGCAGTGGGGCGCGGCACCGGGAGGCTCAGACGTAATACTCCTTGTCTTTGTTCTTCTTGGCCTTGCTGGGCGTCTTGGGGGCGGCTGGGGCCTTCTCCTTCACCACCGCCCCGTTGCTCTGGGCCGAGTTACTGATGTAGTTCCGGCTCTGGTCCACCTGGTAGGAGCCCTCGTCGCGGTTGCGGTACTTGTACATGGCGTAGAGGAGGATGAGGATGCACAGGGCAGCTGCCGCCACGATGCCCACCACCATGCCCGTGGTGCTGCTGGACTCCCGGATCACCTCCACTGCGCCCGGCGGGCCCCGCTCCCCAGGCCCCGTGGGGTTGGCTGTGGGCAGATGGGGGAAGCCGGGGGCTGAGGTCACGCCGGGGCGCAGGGGAGGGGGCCTCCGCGGCTCGAAGGACGTGGGGGCCCCGGGCCCCAGGGGTGGGTTCTCCAGCAGGGGCTGCAGCGGGTCTCGGTGGTTCATTTTGCCCGCCGGCAGATTGGGGGCCGGGGCGGAGGGGGCGAGCAGCACCCCAGGGGCGCCCGTGGCCCCATCTGTCCTGAGGTTGGGCCGGGGAGCAGGTTTTCGGGGTGACAAGAGGGTGGTGCGGTCCGTGACCAGGGGAAAGGTGGTGTAAAAGTCCTCGTCATCCGTGGGGGGGAGGCTGGAGTCAAAGACCTCCCCGGAGGCGAAGCCCGAGGCCTCGATGGGCTCCTCACAGTCGCTGTCGTCCCGCTCGGCCTGGCATGGGCCCCCGGAGGGCGGGCGGCGGGCCGCAGGCGGGGGCAGGGTGTCTTGGGTGGCGCCCACGCCCGTGAGGAAGGGGTAGAAGGTTGGGGGTGGGGGCACGAAGGGGGATCGGGTGGCCACAGGAGGGGGGTCTAAGGAGTCCTCCGTGATAATGGGCAATATTAACTCTCCTCCTAGAACAAGAGAGAGAAGAGAAAAGAGGGGGCGTCAGCGAGGGCCGGGGCGCGGGCGGCCGGCACAGAGAGAGAAACAACAGCCTCACACACCCAAATCGGTTCCAATTGGCTTTGGCGGAGACTAGAGCGGGCCGGGCCCGCCCGCCAGCCTGCCGGAGCACTGCGCTTTAAGCGGGCAGCGGCTCGGGTGCCCTGGGCACCCCACGCACGGGCTCTGCGACTCTCTGGTTTTGGTCTTTTGTTTTGTCTTAAGAAACCAAAAGGAACAGAAAGGAAAGGAAATCGAAAAGAAACGGAAAAAAAAACTCTACTGGTTTAAGGCTTTAAAAACAGATACAACAGCAGCATTTAAACAAACCTAACAACAATATCTTTTAGGGTTTTTTCTAGATTTTTCTTTTTTTTTTTTTTTTCTTTTGTTTTTAAAAAAGAAGATAGCATACCACGGAATTCAGGCAACTTACATCAACAAATAGGCCGTGTGATTTTAGCATGAAGAAAAAAATTACAAACAGAGCTGTGTAAGCGGGTTCTCCCGGAAAAAAATAAGAAAAAACAACTTTTCCGTACAACGTTTTCTATCTGTTTGTATCTCCCTCCCTCACTGTCTTCTCCCTGCACCTCTCGCTTCCTCCTGAACGCTCTCTCTCCTCCCTCACTCGTGCCCTCTCCCCATCATTAAACATGGAGCTGAACTTTGCACAGTGCGGGCTGCGGCTGAGGAACTGTTACCACCACTTGGTGTCAGCGTGTGGGGAAGGGAGGCAGCAATGGGAAGGAGGGCCTGGAGAGGAGGCAGATGAGAGGCAGCTATGTGGGAACTGCTACATGGTGACAGGACTTGGGAGGGGATGGCCAGGGTAAGGGGCTTTGAGGGCTAACTGGCTATGAGAGAGGAGACACTGCAGGTGAGAGGTGAGGAGGCCCATGAGCAAGAGTGGGCAGGGAGCGATCAGACACACTGGAGCAGGGTCTTGTCCCACAGGACTCTAGGAGGGGCGGTGAGAAGCCATGTAGAGACAGGGAGGTAGGGAGGTGGGGAGGGGCAGGGAGTGATGGAAGTGGGCAGGGCCACAGGATTCCTGAGCTAACCTAACTCCCCAACTTTCTCTTTCTTCACCCTCCACCTCTGACCCCCGCTGAGTTCCCCCCTCCCCCTCCCCAGAACCCCCATGGGCCGCCAGGACCTGGCCAGGGCTTGACTGCCTCTGACCCTCTTATTATTGTTAAAACAATAATAAAACAACAAAAAGAAGAAGAAAGCAAAAAAAGAAAAGAAAATACATACACAGCCATCTGGGAGGGATGCACTTGCTAAAGTAGGGCCCAGGGGAACTAGTGGGGAGGGCTTTGGGGGGGTAGGTCTCCCTTTCTCTAGGTCTGATAACTGGGGTCCTCTGGGCAGAAACTGCTATTCCCATCAGCCCCCAAAGGGTGAGAACTACAACTCCCATTAGCCCTTGGAGGGGTATAGACCACAATTCCCATCAGCCCGTGGGTCAACAACTACAACTCCCATCAGCCTTCTGGGCCTCCTCTCCAACCTGGGGTAGAAGAGAGCTGAAGCCAGGCTCCAGGTGACTGGTAGGACAGCTCAATCCTCTTGGAAAGGCATCTCTGGCCTGGGGGGGCACTGGAGGTTTCCTCTGTGGCTCTCCCTCCAACACAGCCTAAGGCCTGCCCACACCTGAGAACCTCTCCCTGGTCTTTGCAGGGTGTGGTCTTCATAGATCACACCCACAAGCCGCCCACCCCCTCCATGGTAAGCATCCCCGGGCATCCACTGCCAGGTCCCGTTTGCCCCACCACAGCCCCACCGCAGCCAGGCCAGCCACGTTCCTCTCCACATCTTGGCACTCTTCTCCTGACCCACAGCCCTCCGGCCTGGGCGCTGCTGTTCAAACACCTCTGCTGAACCTTCAGATCACAAGCTCCAGCAATCTGGCAGAGCCATCCTTGGCCACAGCAGCCAGCCACAGCCAAGATTCTGCCATTGAACTCAGCCTTGCTGAGCTCCCCAGGCTGTTCTCCCCACCAGCTTTCAATCTTCCTCTAGGCTGGAGCTCACCCGCACCCCAGATTTTGAAGCCCCAGGACTCCTGGCCTTCCACGGGCCCAGCCACAATGAAAAACTACACCAAGAACAGAGAAGCATGTTTTGTGGAGCTGGGACTGTCCAATCCCGGCTTTTTATGGATGAGGATGCTGAGGCCTGGAGCAGGCAGGACTTCCCAAGGTCACTAGTTGTTGGTGTCAGGCAAGGTGAATGAATGGACTGTGCAGTCCCTTCTGTGGCTCTCAGAGGCCAGGGAAGGGCAGGTCTCACAAGGAGCATGGGAAAGCCTGAATCATCCCCATCCCATCCAGGAAGCTGGGCTGTTCGACTTTTGCCTTGGATGCTAGCCTGAGAGGTTGCACACCTGTTCTGCTACTGAATTCCTATGTGACTGTGGGCAAATTTCTTCCAGTCCCTGGGCCTCAGTTTCCTCATCTACAAAACCGTGGTACTGGGCTCCAGGCCTGAAATCAAGGCCTGGCCCTTATGGGCCCTCCAGCCTATGAATAAATATAGTGTGTCCTCCCATTTCCATCTGAGCCCCAGACCCACCAAAAGATGACCTGGCCACCCTGTCCACAAGCTGTCAACTTGTGGGAGGAGGCTGGCAGCCCCTCAAGTGGTGGCATCCTGAGCCCAATCACGGCAGGGTTCCCCTCCTGCATGGATCCTAAGTGCATCTGGGGCTCCCCCCACACCACCTGCCCTCCCCCGCCCTTGCCTTCTATTCAGAACATCTTCCCCTGCTGATATCTCACAGTCCAGACAAACACCTCTTCTTCCAGGCAGACCTCCAGAGGATGCTCCCTGCCTTGGATGCCTCTGACACTATGTCCCTATTCTTCCCTGGAGGCACAGGTTTGGACTCACTGCCAGGAAAGGCCCAAAGGCCCAAGTCCCATCTGTCTGTCTCCCTAGACCCAGCAGTTGGCCTGGCACAGAGCTGGGGCTCATAATTCTTATTCAGGAGAAGGCGAGGAATATTCTTTAGGCACTGCCTCAGCCAGGACAGGCTAGGTATCTGGGGAAGGGGGTGGGAGCCCCTCTCACAGGCCAGAGCAGCTGTGTTCTGAACACCCTTCCCTCTCCACCCTCTGAAGCAGCAGGCACTGCTGAGAGCACAGCCTGGCGGGAGCCTTGTCCTGGGTCTCACTCCCACCCACTGCCATCCCCACCTTCCATCTTATAATGGGCCACCAGTTATTGCTAGAAACTCCAGGGTCAAGGCTTGCCCTAAGCTGGCTTATGACCCTCAACCAGCTGGCCATAGCTGGGGCCTCAGCCATTCTTTTTCTAGGCCAGGGCATAGGACCAGACCAGGAGGCCTTTGCCGGGGACAAGTCCTGCCCTAGAGTGGCTAATCGAGCTGACCAGGGCACAGGCCCTGGCTCTCTACCAACCTGCTCACCCCCAGCGAGGCTAGGGCACGTGGAGGCTTCAGGCCTTGGATCTGGACAAGTCTTGCCCTGCCTGAGCCCCCCACAATCATTTGCTTCAACTCACTGGTCCTTGGGACACAATAGGTTCCTAGGATCCCCCAGATGGCCTCCCCTAGCCCCCAGAGCCCTCCCAGCCCTCGGTAGCTGGGTCTCCACCCTGTCCCTACATCTCCAGCTCTTTGGGGCTTCTCTGGGCCCCTCTCTGCCCAAGGGTTTGACGGCATATCTCCTGAGGGTGATATTACCCATGTCCCGCACACTGCCATGGCTCCCCCTCAGTGCCCCCTTCTTCTGGCAGCCTCTGTCATCTCCAGCTCTTTGGGGCTTCTCTGGGCCCCTCTCTGCCCAAGGGTTTGACGGCATATCTCCTGAGGGTGATATCACCCATGTCCCGCACACTGCCATGGCTCCCCCTCAGTGCCCCCTTCTTCTGGCAGCCTCTGTCCCCCACACTGCTTCTTCCATGTGTCCCATACCCACACCTTCCTCAAGAGAACAGGCTGTGGAGAACCCACGATAACACACACAGCATCCCTCCCCACACTCTTAGCCTGGCCTGATGTAGGGTGCTGGACTTTCCTGGCTCAGACACTGGTCTGGTAAGGATCAGGAGAGCCTACCCTCATGAGAAATCAGTAGGGCCTAGAAGTGGGGAGGATCCCCCAAGACTTCTCACCGCGAAAAATATAACCAGTGCTGCTCCCACTTGGCAATTGAGGGGTACAGACTCACGATGACTCGTGGAGCCTGGGCCCTGGGTCCAGCTCTACACTAAGGGTGTAGAGCGTATGACTGAAAGGTAGAAGGAGTCTGGTAAGGACCCCAGGTAGCCCCCACTCCTCCCCCACTTCAGGCTGCTGCAGCATTTGGAAAATACTCACAGGTGCACATTTGTCACAGACACCACCCACCACCCTCAGCATCCTCAGAAAAACTGGATTTCTGTGCATGTCAGTCCCACTTACTAAAGGATTCCATTCTGACCAAGATCACCAGCCACTCCTGAGCCCTTTCTGTCTTTAGGGCACAGAAGTTCCCAATTAGAAATCTAACCAAGAACCCCATTCCCACCCAAGCAAGATGTGCCCACACCCAAAGGGGAGTATAGAACTGAGGTTGAGAATGTCTGAGACTAAGCCATCAGCTGGCTGAGACCCCACCCTCCAGTGCTGGGGGCCCTGTCCAGGCTGTGAGGGACAAGAAGGCCACTAGCCTACAGGGCATCTCCTGTGGATTAGAAAAAAGGCAGCCCCTTGACGTGGACATAGCCCGGGGAGGGGGGTGGGGCACGACTTGGCAAACAGCACTTCTTTGCAAAACTGGAGAGAAGCATTCTCTCCTCCAAGTGGACACAGCGCTGCTCTGATGCCCAAGACACATGGCTGGGCAAGCAGAGCACTGGCTAGATTTCAGCCTTTACTCACCTGTTTGAGCAGTGAGCAACCTATGCCACTGTGGGTGGTGGCAAAGGACAGTGCCTCTCTCCACCCTGAAATGCCACC